TTCTTTTTGCTTATGTGGTGCTGAGGAATCGAACCCAGGGCCTCGAGCATGCAAGGCAAGAGCTCTACCACTGAGCCACCTTCCCAGCCCCTCCCTGAGCTCTTTTACTCAAGGCTAGTGCTTTACCACTTTGAGCCACAGTGTCACTTCTGGTTTTCTGGTGGCTGATTGGAGATAAAGAGTCTCATGGACTTTTTTTTTTTTTAATTGTCAAGGTGATGTACAGAGGGGTTACAGTTACATAAGTAAGGTAGTGAGTACTTTTCTTTTCTTTTTCTTTCTTTGTTTTGGTCAGTCATGGGGCTTGAACTCTAGGCCTGGGCGCTGTCCCTCAGCTCTTCGGTGCAAGGCTAGCACTCTACCACTGGAGCCACAGTGCCACTTCCGGCCTTTTCTGCTTAAGTAGTGCTGAGGAATTGAACCCAGGGCCTCATGCATGCTAGGCAAGCACTCTACCACTAAGCCACCTTCCCAGCCCCGTAAGTACATTTCTTGTCGAACATGTTACCCCCTCATTTTTCTCCCTTTCCCTTACTTCATCCCCCCTTGCCAATTTGTACAGATCATTTCCAAAAGAGTGTCTTGTATCACTGTTGCATTGGTTCCCCCTTTGTCCTTTGTCTCACCATCTTTTTGTTCCACTTCCCTTCCCTAATTTGGTACCCTGGGTATTGTGTATCTGTTTTTCATGGACTTTCTTACCCGGGCTGGTTTTGAACCATGATCTTCAGATCTCAACCTCTTGAATGGCTAGGAGTACAGCCATGAGAGACCAGCACTTGGCTTTCTTCCCCTTTGCTGTGCCCTTCCCCCCATTCTGCCCTAAGAAGACCAAAAATAAAAGCAAAAACAAATACCATCAACAAAAGTAAATAAACAAATGCCATGTTTCCATTTCCTGGAATTTGTTCCCATTAATAATACTTGAAATGTTCAGAGGAATTACATCTTTGGGATCCCCTCCACAAAGAGTATCCCCCTTTAGTCTGATTGACTGTGAATGCCTAGAGTCCTCTTATCATGTCCAGTTGCCTTTTAGATCTAGGTGAGATAAAACGTGGCCCATTTGTCTCTTGAGCATGGCTTACTTCATGAAACATGATTCATTCTAGATCCATTCATTTCCCATAAGTCTTTTATTTCTAATGGATGAGTAAAATTCTATTGTGTATAGGTACCACAGTTTTGGATCCACTTGTTCTTTTTTTTGGGGGGGGGGTCCAGTCGTGGGGCCTGAACTCTGGGCCTGGGCACTGTCCCTCAGCTCTTCAGCTAAAGGCTAGCGCTCTACCACTTGAATCACAGTGCCACTTCTGGCTTTTTTTTCTTTTTGCTCATGTGGTGCTGAGGAATCGAACCCAGGGCCTCAGGCATGCAAGGCAAGGGCTCTATCACTGAGCCACCTTCCCAGCCCCGATCTACTTGTTCTTGTAGGGCATCTGGGCTGTTTGCATAAATTGGCTATTGTGAATACAGCAGAAATGATAGTAGATGTGCAAGTGTCTTTATGGTATCCTGGCTTTTGATGTTCAGGGTAGATGCTCAGGAATGATATGTCTGGGTTGTACAAAAGATCTATGTTTAGTTTCCTGAGGAACCTCCAGACTGCTGCCCAGAGTGGTTGTACTAGTTTACATTCCCACCAATAGTGCAATAGAGTTCCCTTTTCTCCACATCCCCACCAACATTTGTTGCTTAAAATCACAATGTTGGCCAATCTAACTGGAGTGAGATGGAATCTCAGAGTTGTTTTGATTTGCATTTCTTTTTATGGCCAAGGATGATGAGTATTTCTTCATGTTTCCTTGCCATTCTTACCTCTTCTTCTGAGTCTCTGCTTAGCTCCTTTGCCCACTTAGCAAATGGTTTATTTGTCTGGGGGTTCGTTTCTTGAGTTCCTCATATTTTGTAAGCTTTGTCAAATGAAATACTGGTAAAGATCTTCTCCCAGTCTGTTAGTTGTCTTTGTAACTATGCCCTTTGCTGTGCAGAAACATTTTATTTTGATGAAATCTCATTTGTCAAGTCTCACAACTATTTGTTGTGCGCCTGGTACTCTGCAAAAAGTTCCTGCCTGTGCCTGTAAGTTCCAATGTTTCTTTTATAAAAAGCTGAGTGCTGGTGGCTCATCCTTGTAATCCTAGCTATCCAGGAAGCTAAACTCTTGAGGTTTAAGGTTCAAAGCCAGCCTAGGCAGAAAAGTCTGCAATAAGCAACAAAAAGCCAGATTGGAGGTATGGCTTAAGTGGAAGAGCACCAGCTAGGCAAGCACAAGGCCTGTGTTTAAAGCCCAATACCACCAAAAAAA